CCAGTGGCTTGCTGGTTCACAGCCGTTTGACAAGCTTCCTCAGATTTCTCTATTCCAGGTGGAAGCACTTGGAGCACAAACCCCTTTCTTGGCCCGCTGTGTGACTCCCAGCCTTTTTGTGTGTGTGTGTGTGCTTAATGATTCTTGACCGGTCATTTAGGTTACTGAGTACCGAAATTGCTTATTCTGCCATCCCCATCCTTCCCAGTGTGCAGCACTGAATGAGGAGAAACCCATTGCCTTCCACCGAAGGAGGACCGCCAGGGAAAGGGGAAAATAAAAGGCTTAAGTTGATACACATTTGAAAAGCAAACAGAAGGAAAAACAGAACTTCTTAGAAATAAACAGCAGTGAAGGAAGCTGAAATGAGTTTGGCCCCCAAAATGGGGCCAGCAAAATAAGTTGGTCACCAAGTTTCAAAACAACTTGGTGGAGGAGAGGGGGAGGGGCCCAGGCAGAAAGCAGTACATTTTGGCAATTCGTGGAGTTCTTGATGGGGAAAATGAGGATCTGTACACATCGCTGGGGGTGGGGGTAGGGGTGGAAGGGGGGTGGGCTGAAAGAAAAAGAACAGCCCTAACAAACTATTCTAAGCTAATGTAATGTTTATCAAGTTACTTGGATAATGATAGCATGTGTGCCATTATCATCATCAAAACCCAATCTATGTTTTAAAAAGTTACAGATGATTAACACAACATCAAGTTGATGCAAACAATTACTTAACACACACACGCACACACACACACACTAACACACACACATGCTCGTGCACCCCGCCTCCCCCCCAATACACACACAGAGAGAACCAGGAGGGTCCTAATATTCTGTAGAATGAGGGAGGCTGCAGCTGTATGCAGACAGCTTTCATATCCTCATTTGAATAATGTGTCCTGGATCTGTCACTTTATTCATGCTCCTTATGCTCAGTGTACTCGACATCAACAACAAATTAAGTTGTAAATAAGAGACAATCATCACTTTTGTTTTTAAGCAGCTACTGCACAGAGAATTTCAATGTACGGTTCCTTTCTGACAGGGGGAAAAAAGGAGATGCTAGAGTTTGCTTACATAAGCACAAATATGGGGAAAACCAACAGAAATGAAAACAATTAGAAACACTTTACAGTTGCTGAGGGGGGGAAATATTCTCTAAAGCACATCATAGATTACCAGCTGAAATTTCCTCTGAGAACATACTTAAATATATAAAAACCAGAGGCTGAATCACCCAAATGGCACTGCAAACTTATTTCACTTCACAGACCCTCTGTCATGAAACACAAGGTCCATCCTTGCCTGGCACACCTCTGCTCAGAAGGACAAGGGCATGCTATTCCATTACAACACAGGTGTCTTTATTAATGAACTTATTCCACATATATCTCAATTAACTTTCAAGGGGTGAAAAAGTACCACCACATACATAGATAGGTGACTACAAAGCAAATGGGTGGGGTTGGGGGGGTGTGATGGGACAGGGACCTGAATAAAAATTGAAAAATTGTGCGTACCTTCACATCTGAGAAGTAGGTCTTCAGCATGTTGGAACTGGGATAACGGGTATAAAAGAACATGAGCTTTGCTTTTTTCAAGTGATTAGGTGACAGTCCTTCCTGCATGTAGGATTCAAGTAGTCAAGGAAAACATCTCAATAAGCAGTAACAACAACTACCATTACCCAGAGAAACCTGAGACCTAGAAATGGTAGGCAAGTGCCAGGCACAGGGCATCTCATCCATCATTGATTTGCTGCTTTGCCCAAGATGATCATTACCTATAAAAATTGCTAAATATAAAGAACTTCAATGTGGAATATTGTCTTTTTCTTGGCAAAAACAAATCTCTTCCATTTTCAGGTTTTTGTCCTGGATGTATGTTCACTTGTTGCTACGGAGACAAATGGACCCACATGTGCTGCACAAACTCTCATCCCAAGATTTTTTCCCCCTCCTTTTCAGTAATTATAATTCTATCTCCTTTTTTCTCTCCGTGCTGTGGAGTTCATAGTCAATTATTATACTGATGTGAACAAAAATGCAAAATGCCTTATTTTGAACATTTTCCCTTTTAATACTAATCTAATTAAGTATCTCGAGTCACCTTGTTCCTATCATATTATTGCATGGTCTTAACTGCTCACTTTTCGATGACAGCCAAAACTCGAAGGGGAGGGAGCCATTGACATAGAAGGAAGAAAAAGCGATGAAATATAGAAGTCTAGTTCTTGTTTAAAAGGAGAACAAACAAACCAACCAAACAATCACTACAGCAAGAACAGCAAAAACCCTTGCCATTCCCTATCGGTAGTGGTTAACTCCTCTGAGAGTGACAGAGTACTGGGGGCTAACACATCCATACATGTGGGTGAGCAGATCAATAAATGGCCATTTACCCTAAATAAGGCGGCCTATTTATCTGGAAACATCATTACCTTTTAGATCCATAAACAGCAGCAACTAAAACAGTTCCCAAGAGAATGTGAGGCTAACCATAACAATCTAGGCTTCCTGAGTCTCCCCCAGATTCTTGGCACTCTTCAGCGAGCTCTGTGTTAGGATGGCTTTGGTCACATCTGTGCTGCAGGCTGGCCCTGCCATTTCCTCAGCAAATTAATGGCTTTATAATTTATCAGAAATGAAGATGCACGTGGAGAAAATCAATGTGGTCCCCCACAAGGTCAATTAAGGGTCCTTCCTAGAAGCTTCTCTAAGGATTGTCTCTAAAAGGAAAGTCTGGGGAAAAAAACAAAACAAAACAAAAAAAACAAAAACAAAAGCCCACATATAACCCTACTTTAGCACTCAACCAAAATTTCACACCTTGTGAATAAAGGTCAAACCAGTTCTTTGATATTCTGGAGCAGGGAAAGCCTGTTCCAATGACCTTCACTAAACTTACAACAGAACCAGTTGTGGAAGGAAATTTTTAAAAAGTTCTCAATTCCAGCAACTAACCAAGGAGACCTAATCAAATTAATACTGATAAGCTCTCAACTATTTATAAGTGGGTATTTAACAGCATATTTTGAGGCAGATTTAATGAATTAGCATTACCTTGGCTATCCTATGTTGTTTTTTTTTTAAAGGAGAAACTTAATTTTACATAGAAAACAAAAATATCAAGGCAAATTTCTTAGCCCCTTAGAGTAAAAGAACCTACAAATGCTTGATTTGTGTCAGTAACCTGAAAAAGCAGCTCTCTCCAAACTTGTGTTTTGTTTGAGATACTTAATGATTACAAAGGAGATAATTTATGACTGACATACTTCTTGTGCCAAGGAAAGAGCTAAGAGAACCTTGATGGCTACCTCCATTAGACCGATAGAGAGGCCTAGAAGAGTGCTGCACTCTCTTCAGTGCCATCTGTCAAAATGGGTAAGTGAAATAACAGTTGCAAGCTGTCACCTATTGCTTAGTGATAAGAGTTTTAGGCAAGTCAAAAACTTCTATGGATGCAGACCTCGGATCCCAGTATCCTTATCTTTCCTTTCATAAAACCATCCAAAAATCAACCCTACACACTGGACAGGGTTGTGTGTGTGTGTGTGTGTGTGTGTGTGTGTGTGTGTGAGGGGTAAATCTCAAACTATTTAATTTAGAATTTGTACAAAAGAGACAACATTTTGCTATGCAAATCAAGTGAATTAATATTTTCATTTAAATTTTCCAGTGATCTTACTATGGGAAAAAACATTTTGATACTCTTTATGGTCAGTTAAAAAAAAAGTTTTGTTCTGATCCCAATACAGGAGCTAGCTCTTTCATTAAAAAGCATGCCATGTTTCAGTCTCTCAAAGTCAACTTTTGGTTAAAAATGTTTCCTGCTAGCAATACTTGGAATTGTTTGGTTGAAATCTGGCCTGGAATAAATCTTTATCTCTCACTCATCGTGTTATTGGGATTAAACTGCCATGAAAGATGTGTTTCTAATAAACTTTTAAAAATAGCTAATGAAACATTTAAAAACCCACAGTGGGATAATCCTTGTTTTTTTTTTTAAATAAAATAAAATTGAACTGACCAATTGGTTAATTTCCCTTTTAAGTGCTTGTGCTGAAAAGCAAGTGTTCTTCCAAGAAAGCACTGGCTGTTTCCAGGATACTTACACACGCACAATGAGTCATGATGGAATAGATTCAGTAAACATACAGCTGTACTGAACACGAGCTAAGCTCCATTCAAGGCCAGGAAAGAAAATGAGCACAAATAAATATTAAGGAGGTAAAGGGGGGCGGGGGGATGGAACGCAAACAAGATCTGTCCCGGCAGCTCATGTGGCTTTGCCTCAATTCTCTCAGCCATAGCTTTGTGAAGACAGATGACATTCAATTCTATGTGTAATGCAAAATAGACAATAACTGCTGAAACTTGAGACAGCTGCCAGGTGTAAAAAAAAAAGGGGGGGGAAGAAAAGATGATAAATCCATAAATTAATGAAAGACATCTGCTCGGGAACATAAAAGATCAGAGAAACAGTGTAGTGCAGCTGAACCTAAAGCAGTGTTCAAACAACCTGAGAATCTGAGTGTTGTCTATTTACCAAGTACAATATAACCTTACCTAAACAACGGCAGTAAAAAGACACATGGAAGAATGATGGGCATAGAAGTGTGGGGTGGGGAGGGTTGGAGGAAGATGCCGAACAAGTCGCCATTTTTACCAATCCAATACTGGTTTGTGGCTCAAGGAATTATTCATTTGTAGTTCTCAGCAAATGGATTGAGCCCACTTCACAAAACACATCTTAGTAAAAATGGCCATTTCAAAAGAAGTTTTCCCCTTTTCTGATTTTCTGTTTTGTTATCTTCCTAATAAGTTTCCTCCCTAAGACACCTGTAGGAAGAGAAGAAATGGACTCACGGAACACAAAACTATTTCCCAAAATGTTAGTAAGTAATCAAGTGATTGCTCCACCACAGAAGTTTTCTTAGTCAGCAGAGTTCTTAGTTTGGAGAGATCTTGAGAATTTTGCTTGTCAAGGCTCATGAGAGAGAGCAAAAACAAATAACCAAAAACCCCCTTTTTTTGTATATTAAAAAAAACCACATGCACACAAAGTGTCTACTTACTCTAAAGAACAGACTTTAGGCTATTTAAAAATATTAACTGCTACATGCAGCTTTGGGTTTTCTGAGCAAAATCTTCATGATTTGACATTTGTGGCCAGACTTCTGAGTTTTATTCTCATTCCAATTTCAAACATCTAGAACCTTTTTCTTTTTTTAAGTCTATTCATTTAAGTGCCCCAAGGAAAGTTAAGAGGGAACAAATTGTCCATTATGGATAATGTCTTCACCTGTACAAATGCAGTAAAGGCCTAGAATGACACTGTTGTGCTTTAATTGGCTGCATGCAAATGACTGAGGCCTAAAAAAGGCTACTTTTCTTGAGATGCAAAGAGGATGTGTGACAAGGAACATCATGGAGAAAAACAATTGGCTGTCTGTTTCTTTGGGTATTTGAATAAAACTTAATATTTGATTAAATAGATTCATTTGCAAAGATACAGAATACATTCTGTTGAGCCAAGACATGAACTCTTTTGGCACAAGTATATCTTATAGTCCAGTTTAACCACACTTACACAATTAACTACTTCCTTTCTAAATTAATTGGAAGAAACGATAATGTAATGTCATTTTGCATACAATGTACACGTGTATATGTACTTAAGTTTGATATTCTGATGGGCCTTCAGGGTCTGAACCTGGTTTTTATTTTGACAGTCCCATGTTCTTAATTTGGCTAGTTTACAGAATGGAACAGATGTTGCTCTTTGAAGTGAGGAAATAATTATTCCTTAAGAATTGAATTCTCTACTTGTATGCAGTGACTTAATCTAAAAATTATAAAACAATGAAATACTACTTTCCATTTCCACTCAATTCTATTTGTCTTAATTAATGCTACTGCATGTAGACAAATGGGCTAGATTAACTAGAACCTTGAGGTAAGTCATCATTCCCACTGATCACAGGAAAAATTTTTAGCAAATAGATTGAGAAGTCCCTCTATCTAATATAAAATTTTAACTTAGATGCTCCAATTGACCAGTGGGGAAGCTCACAGTGTGGCTCAAAGATAGAGACAGAAGGAAAAAGAAGAGTGGCATATAGGACCCCCACATGAATACTCTATCTCTCAATTGGCTTCAGGATGGTTTAGGCAATAGAAAAGAATATGATCTATCTTTCTTCCCAGAAATAGCACACAAATGAGGAAAAAGATTGGTGGAGTGAGGCAGAAAGACAGGAGACAGTAGAGCATAGAAGAAAGATTAAAAGGTTGGAAAATTAAATTTGTAAAGGTAGTGGGAAGCACCAGAAATATTCATAATAAGATATAACTTCTGGTACTAAGGGGACTAACATTTTATATGAAAGTAAGGGTCTTTCCTTCCCTTGAATTTCAGTAGAATTTCATTATTGGCAGAAGTGAGAGAGGATGTCTCTAGTCTGAAAAGAGGGCAGTTAAAATTTGCTTTAATTCCTACAAAAAGATACAAAAAGGGGTTTCTCTTGCCCTAAGCCCTCAAATTTCATTTCCCATTAAGGGGATTTAGATATTGTATGTCAAAAGACTAAGCCAATGCCTAAGGCTGTTTTGAATTTTTTCTAGGAAGATGAACCTACCGAAAAAAAAAAATAAGCCAAAGCTAAACAGGTAAGGAGAGCTGGAGTGCATAGAAAGCCTTGCTTAAAAACACAAATAGTACTTTGAAGGCTAAGAATCTGGTAAGGAGACACAGGACATAGGAAACTGGCCTCCACTGTTTCACTCTTTTGTTGATCAGTTGCCTAAGAAGGGGTAAATCTCTCGGCTTCTACTTTGAAAATTGAAGACCCACCATCACTGCCACCCACTTCAAATAACTGCTGAGAGAGTCAATGCCAGGGTAAACTAGCATTACAAGAAACTTGGTTGAGTTCACTTTCTCAAGGGCAGGAGAACATGGAAATCTCTGAGGTCTCTTAGCTTATTCCCAACAACTTTAACCATGTAGCTAGGTACAAGTGCTGGTGAATTCCTGGCTAGCCAGCTACTTTTGGACAGGTTACTGAAGGGTGGGAACTGAGTCAGAAACTTAAAGCTAAAATTCTTTGTTTCGATCCCCAAAGCAATAGTCACTTAGCAACTCAACTCTTACTGAATTGGAATAATAGGATCTTAAGAGCTAGAAGGGACCTCAGAAGACATCCAGTATAACCCATACCTGGTTAAGAATTTCCTTGACTACGTATCCCACTGGTCATCCAGCCTTCATTTGAAGAACTCTGATGAAAGAGGACCTCTCTCTCTCTCTCTCTCTCTCTCTCTCTCTCTCTCTCTCTCTCTCTCTCTCTCTCTCTCTCTCTCTCTCTCTCTCTCTCCTTCCCTCCCCCACCCCCGTCTCTCTCTCTCCACCTCCACCCAACATGCCCCTATCCCAACCTTGACTAAAAATTGACTCCACTCTTAACCACCCAAAAAAGTTACATGCCTGTACATCTGACACAATCTATCAATGAAAGAAAATCTTCTTTATTATTGCAATGAATATTGAAGGGTAGCTCTGGGTCTCCCTGGCAGTATGGCCTTCATTAACTAGGAAAACAAATTAACTACCTGAGCTCAGACTTTGCACTTATGGGGCAACCTCTAGAGTGGGTTTAGATACCCAAATGTCGATCTTTAGTCATAATAACTATTGCCCAAAGTCCTCAACTTAGTACTAGACAAATTAATTACTAAATGTTATACCCATCTGGTAATTTCTTATATAAAGGAAAAACTCAATCTGTCACAAATACCACCAATGGGGGTACAGAAATATTAAAAAGAATACTGACTCCACCCTTGCCTAATAGCACTGAACACCTTTACGTCCACGATTTTAGAAACTTCCCTAAACAAGGACCAATTTACTAAGGAAGAAACAAATATTAAAAATGGTTGAAGTTCAGGATGGATTCAATTAAAAATAAGTCTGGCATTTTGACGTGAAAGTCTGATTTGGAGCTTGAAAGAGTTATAAAAAAAACCAATTCTGTAAATTTAATACAGACTCCTTCAAGTCTAATACTGAGTTTTATATTTAATTGTACTTTCTTGCTTTCCAAAATAATTTGCTTTGCGTATGTTAGGACAAAAGATTTCTGTATATGGCTGAACAGAGGTTAATCATGCATAGCAGACAGCTGCAGAAGGCCCAAAGAACAGATCTTTGGGTGAGGCAACCCTATGCAGTTGAATAAATCAGTATTTATATCATATCTATCTACCTATCTATGTGTATATATATATATATATATATAAAAATATATACATATATGTATATATATACACACATATATACACAAATACACATATATGTGTGAATAGATGTGTGCATGTACATATATATTATCTCCACTTAAAAATAGAAGTGAAAACCTTTTCTTCCAACCTAATGTTACACCAACAGTTATTTTCTTTGTGAGACTTAATAGAGTTACTGGTAAATGGGCCAGGAGTTTCTCATGGCTTTAAATTATTTTGGGGAGGGAATGCTAAAGGATTTTCAGAAACCCACAAATTAACTTCCATAATTCCTCCATTTAAAAGCTTTTTCTATCTCCCATCATGACCGAAACTAATGTTTAAAAGGGGAATTTTTTAAATCTCTAAATTCCCTCTGGAAACAGAAGAGGAACAACGAAACACTATTGCTGGAAAGATATATGCTAAATACCGGAACAATTTAACTCTCATCTTTCCCAAGTGGCAAAGGTTTGGTAGTAGTTCTAGGCTGGTATGTTATCAGAAAGGTAACATCTATTTAGGAAAAAAAAAACGCCAAGGATGTTGACTTGTTTTCACTTTCAAACAGAAACTACAAAAGCATATTAAAATGTAAGATCAGATCAATCTACATGATTCTCTATCCCCTTAAACTTAACCTTTTCAGAAGATACTTTATGATGGGAAAACAAAAGGATATTGCACTTCCGGAAAAAGGTGAAATATCAGACATATCTTGGAGGTCACCACACTCAGACTTTATGAGAGACAAGGAGAGGCCTTCAGCTGTGCTGGGCGGATGTGCTGGTGAACAAGGGTGGTGGTTCATATGATGGGATGACATCTTGGTCCTCAGACTTGCTGTCTCCCTAGTTAAGTCTAAGGATTCTGGGGAGGCTCTGTCTTTCCCAGGAAAGGAGGCAGAGGGAGCACCTAATGGATTCTGAAATGGGTACGCCATCAACGGGAGAGGGAAAGGGTGGCGAAAAGAAGATGTGGTGAAGCCTGTGGTGGTGGAAAGTGGAGACTGGTGCAAAGACTGGTGGTGGCCACCAGCTGGTGGGCCAGAGGCAGATTGGTCAGATGAGTTTTTGCGAACAACTAGGGGCAGTGCTTCTGTTTGGTCTGTGGAGCTGGGCATTTGCATGGTGCCAAAGGTGTCCAGGGGGTTTGGAATGATGACGTCACCAAAGCATTGTAGGCGCTGGTTGGCGGTGTGGAAGTTATGGTTTTCCCCATTGACTGCAAATCTTGCCTGAGGGATCTGAAGAGGTGGGAAGACCTGAGGAAGCTGGCGGGAGGGTTTAGATGAAAAGACTTTCACCACAGTGTCCACAACTTGTGACATGGCAGTATTCAATTCCTGTTTCAAGGTCTCAGCCAAATGCTTGCCTTCTGAATGTAAAGAGTTTGGCCCTTGATCTCTCTCTTTGTTACCTTCTCTTTTCGGCTTATTTTCAGCTATTTCTTGCTCCCTAATTAGGGCCCTGGCCCGGTCAATAAACTGCCCTGGGTCTAACTCACACATCTCATTATCTGACCTTCCCACTGAGTCCTGGGCCCTCACGTCCAGGATTTCTGAATGCATGCTGTCTTCAGACAGGTTACCATCTTCATCATTTTCAGAATCAGTGCTGTCATAGATTTGGTAGAACTTTTCCTGCAGCTGGCGCAGCTGTTTCTGCATGTCCTCCAGCTGCTGCTTCAGCTGTCGGCGCTCCTCTCGCTTCTGTTCTTTTCGAGCTGAAACCAGCTGCTGGAAACTCTGTTGCTGCTGTTGAGGCAGCTTTTGCTTGCGTTTGTTTTCTCGGTAACTTTCTCGGGGACTTACAGACTGCGGAGCCATCTCTCTCTCATTTTCATTGCCCCTTAATGCCACACTGGGGGAATGGCTCATACCCCGAATTATATTCTCAACCCGGGCGCGCTTAGCTCTCAGGTGCTCATCACATAACCGATCCATATCAAACTGGCTCATAGTAGGCCTGCCAAAAGGGGAAAGACACTCTGGGGGGCTGTCTCTTGAAGAGTTGCTGCATATATCCTCCTGATGTACTTCTGAGCCTGTACTAGAGAGACCGCTGGCTTGGAAACTGGGCTCTGTGCCACCATTTTTGTTCATGTTATTTTTCAACAGCTGGGAAATTATGGTTGCTCCTGGAAAAGGCATCATGGCATCTTCATACGAGTTCGCCCTCTTCAGCAGCTTGCGGAGTACATTTGACTTTTCCCCATCTGCATGCTGCACCACTGAATACTCAACATCCTGCTCTGAACCTTGGGGATTCATGGCACTAAAAAACGTTGCTCTTGCCTTAGCAAAAAATGCAGATGCTGTCCCTACCGTCCTTTTCACTCCAATGTCAACTCTTCTTCTCTTGGTTTGCCTGCTTAAGAGGGCTGTGCTGTCATGGTCAGGCATCACTGGACTGTTATTGTGCCATCTTCAAAAGCTCGTCAGCTGGGCACAGCTCAAGAATCCCGGGACCCTGGCCAACAGAACAAAAGGACTGATGAATCATTTTCTTTAAATTTCTCCAAATTTCCTGACCTCAATCCTGAATAAAATGCAAAATGCATAGGCTCTGGGATTTATGGCACATTACAATTATTGCAATTTATTATGCACTCTGCTTCAAATGAAACATTTTTAAATATTTCTGCTCCACTGGTTTAAGATGGATTAAGATTTTAAAAAAAGGCAAAAACTGCTTAAGCACCAGTAATATGATTCTCTTGCACAAATGCTTAAAATGATACTGTTTATCTTCAGAAGAAAGGGTAGATTATAAGAACACAGCCTCTGACCAAAAAAAAAATTGATTAAATTTGGGGCATTGAGTGACATTACAAAAGAAGATGAAAGTGGCCCTTCTTTAATATGCAACATGAAATTAAAAATCTCTAAAAAAATTTGGATTAAAATTCAATTTCTGCCTAAAATTTGTTGTGGTTTTAATGCTATAGAAGAAAAGTCTTGTCAAATCAGTGTAGGAAGTTGGCACATCCCCTTCCATTTAACTGGGTAGAATTTTTTAACAGATTGAAATTACTCTGTTTGACTTGTTCGTGGGAAGGGAGAATCCTATAACTTAAACGATCAACTTAACATTGAAATAAACATGGAATGAAAAGTTTTATAAATCTACTGTTTTAGCACAGGCATTTGAACCAATAATAATGAGCCAAAAATTTAGTCTGATACCATGACCTAATATTGATTGTATTAATATTGTAAACTGTATCCTTTTATGAATTAATTTCTTTCAAAATTAGTTCTACTGGAAAGGAGGAGATTCTTTAGAACATTTTTAGATTTATATATATTTTAGAAATTGAAATAGAGAACAAATTTTTAGCACAAGTAAGAGTAACATTTCTAGTGCTAATCTTCTTTCAGAACCTGCTTCAAAAATAATACCTTGGGTGCCCAAAGCAAGCTTTTTACATTGTTTTTTTTTTTTTTGTTAAACAGATTCCTATTTCCTGTGCCAAACTTAAAGAGGCTGAAAGAAAATCTGGAAAGATGAAAGAAAAATCACAGCATCAATCAAATGTGTGAAAAGGAAAATACCTCCTCTTAATATGAACTCTCATTGTTTCCCAGGAACAGACTATAAAGAAAGAATATACTTCTTTGCATTTTATAAAAGGCTCAACACAATTTATGATTTATTAACTAATGATGCTAGACTCAAATTTCATATGAACTATTGGATATCACATCCCTTTGGTTACAATTAACACTATACTAAGAAAATGAAAATATTTTTCATGCTGCATTTATCTAATATTAAACTTCACATTTGCTTAACAGAGCACATCTTCACAATAACAGGGTATATTGCCAAAGGCAGCATGCAGGCTTTTTGGAACAGCTCCCATCTCTTTCGGTTCACCTGTAAAAACATCTACGTGCTCCCTAGGATTGCATCTGTGGCTAGTTTTAAAGAATGACTATCCATGCAAATAGGCATAATTTCAGCATGAAATAACCTGTAAAAATCAAGAAAATGTTCAATGCTTAGATAGTAACAATGTGCAAAGCATCAAAGTTCCTCCTGCCATCTTTGCCCACCGTGTTTAGATGGTCTAAAAGCATTTTCAAAAATTCTCTTTTAGACTGATATGAAAGAAATACTATGCTTGCTTACATTTCAAACTCTTTGCATTCAAGAAGACAAAATGGATCCTCTGAATTAAGATTGGAAACTTAATACTTTGCTCAAAATGCAATTCTGAATGTTGTGTGCGTGCATGTGTGTGTGTATGTGTGTGTGTGTGTGTGTGTGTGTGTGTTGTATGGAAATTATTAATGAAACCAGTTAGCTATAGAAAACCAGAAGCACAATTACAAGCCCCAAGGAGACGTACTGTAGGTCCATTTCACTTAGGCCTGAGAAATTAGAGAACAATTGGCAGGAGATTTTTTTAGTAACCAAAAATATCTGAAAACACACAGATAGTGAGAGAGACAGACAATTAAAAAAAAACACAATCAAATGAATCTCAACACATGATAGATGGATTGATGTGATATCAAAACTATACAAATGATCACAGGAAGATCTGAGTAATTTGAAGGCTTTTAAGGGTTCAGGAAGGGGGGGAAGAGCTAAAAGGTAGAACTTTCTGTTCACATTAACTTTTCAAAGATCAAGCCCCCTGAACATCAGTTTTTAACATTTACCTTTTTCTTTGTTCAAATACTTGGAATTCACCTCCATCTGTAAAAGTCATAAAAATGAGCTGATTTCCAATCAAAACCTTTAACATACTTTCTGTGTTTTGTCCTTTCTGTTTACCTTAATACCTAATCTGGAATTTCTTTTTGGCTAGTCCTTGTCATAGGGACATCATCTCCCAGACAGTGGCTCAGGAAATTGCATACTGCTATGAGAAAGAGCATAAGGTCATCCTCAGGCATCCTTCCTTTCCAGCTGCCATCTTCTTTTCATGTCAACTGCACTTCCTCTCATCTAACCCAGGTATCAACAGCTGTATCCCAGCATCTCATATGTGCCAAGAAAGGAGTTTCATTCTTCCTAAGGTTTTGGGAAGTAATATTGCTTGGTCTGTCTGTCTTTCTCTTTCATCCTCACCATAGGATGAGTGTCAATTAAATACACTTCTTCAGTCAACTGAAAATATAATAATCTAAAGACTCTCCTAAATCAATCAAACTTTAAAAGGATTTTTGGAAATTCTATTTCAACTTGTCAACATTTTCTGACCAGATAATGACTAATTCCTACCATGGATCTTTGAAGCACTGATAAAACTGTTGAGGAAACTTGGGCACATTGGGTTCCATATCTTGGTGTAAAATGTCATTTTGGAATTCATTTCTAACCAAATATATAGAGAAAATAACATGCAAACTGATTCAGAAAGAATGTGGCATTTCATCTACTTACCCCAGAGTAATAGTGTTTGAATGATAAACTCATGAAGGTAAGGTCAGATGATTCTAGCCATGAACCTTCTATTTCTTTAGCATTCTTTCATAATTCAGAAATACATGTAAAGATAGCTATCATATCAGACTATCCTTCTAAATGATCTATAGACTGATTTATTTGAAACTATTTATATGTATATGTGTACATGTTTGTATGTATGTAATATATATATATATATATATATTACATACACACATTACATACACACACATATAAGGCTTCTGTGGTTTCATATTTCACAATTATTTAGAGGATCATTTTTAAAGAAATTGAGCTATGATGTTACCCTTTCAGTTGAGAGCATCTGAAAGCTTTTCACAATATCTATACTAAACAGATAGCGTTAATTGTGCTGATTACTGATATTCATTTTAGTTGAATTTTAATATTTCTAATTAGCATAAAGTAGAATGAATATACATTTATACATAATGGTAAAATATTATCACAAGGATATAAAAAACATAGCATAGGAATTTGAGGTAACAAATTAGTAACTAGATAGCTACATTGTTTCCCTGAAAATTCATTCAGTTATTATTAAAATGCATATGTGATTTTGGTTTTTTGTAGTACAGTTATTTGGCTGTCCCTATTGTCATATAAAAACTTCATATAGCATATGATTTGAAAACTATCATAGAACAGTGATTCAAGCACAGCAGGTTTATCCAGAAAAAGCTCAGATAAGGTCAAATAAGGAATGAGCAGCTTCAAAAGATTCTTTAGTAAAGTCTTAAGTGTCTGGCATTCAATTTGGCATAAAGAATCTTTAGGAAAACCATGGGTTAAGGGCTAACAATGAGGACTATTTAGTAAGAAATTCCAGGGGAACATTACTATATTAATTTATTAATGGAATGTTCTCTGCTTTTACAAAAGAAGAGGCTACTTTTGCTTCAGCTATATTTGAAAAGCAAGGCTGACTGAGCTTAAGGATTCTCTAGATAGTTTAGGCAAAATAATTTGTTATGGGGGAGAGAACGGAAAAGTTTTTTTTTCCTTGCCTGAATTATTTATATTAGCTGTCTCTACTGATCAAATTACTTGAATAAATTGTTCAACTCTCCACTTGACTTCATCTGAGTAGATATAGCCTTTGGATTAGAGTCTAACTGACTTAGGTCAATGTAGTTATGAAATTGAAATAGAATGTCATTAATAGGGAACATTTTAATTGATCTAGCAATGCATAAATCTGAAGGGAAAAGAATCAGGTGATTTAAGTGCCCCCAAATCACTTAGCTTTCCCCAATAGTACTGAAAAGTGACAAATTCAATTCTACTAATTAGCAACTTTTTACTTGTGGTAGCTTCTCCTTCCTATTAGTGGCCAAAAAAAAAGTGCTTTGACATTTACTTTCAGGAACCCATTACCCCCCAATTACTACTTCAATTAGTTACGATTGTATTGCCAATAGTGCCTATCATCTTAACGGAGTTCTGAAGTAATGACTACTTCATTATTAAGATTCTTCCACATCATCAAAAATTCTTTAAATTTTTCACCTGCAAAATGACTGATTCTAGGCTTATACTAAAAGCAATGTCATACATCCTTTAAGAATAAGTATAATAGATATTCTGGGTACCAAAGTTTTACAAATAAGTATTTTCACATGTACTTCTAAAATAATAATTCACCCAACTAGCAAGTAAGATAAAAATAAACCCAAAAGGAAAAACTTGCCAATTTGTCCTCCTTGTAGAGTATCTAAATAATCATTAAGTTCTCTGCAACCTATACTTCATAATGTCCCATGAAGCCTAATAAGTCACTGGGCAATAAGGTTTATGAACTTCCTAGTCTAGATTGTCTTTCCAATTTAGAGAGATGCTAAATCAGAATCCTGAGGTCAAATATCAATCATAACTGACTTTTACATTATTAAAAATAAGTAACCTTCTTAAAATGCACTTTGTGAAACTTGAATGCTGAAATTATCAATACTATCAGTTACATATATGCCACAACCCTAGAATGTTACTAAAAATTAGTGAGAAAGGGGTTCATCTGCCTCTTAAATAACTAAAAAGCAAGCCCAAGTGTATATAGACTAGGGCAGAACATACTTTAAGATTTCAAGTATTACTTAGAGAAAAAAAAAGATGTTGGGAAAGAACAAAAGTGTGAATAAAGATTATATGAGATATGTTATACTATATTACTTTAGAATATTATGATGAAGCTTAACAGAGCAATGCAAGGTAGATTCACAAACTTACAAATAAGCTTCCACTACAGACAAACTTTGTTAAGAATAAAACAAATGAACGTGGCCATAAATAAAATTTTAGACATGTGAAAACTTCAAAAACAACTAAGGGAGAGGTGGTGAAAACTTAGATGTATTCAAGTCTAAAGGATAAATGCCTCATGCAATTCCATCCTCATGGAAACAATAACAAAACAGAATTAAAAAAAAAATCCACCCACCTAACTTACTACCAGGCAATTCATTTTATTTAAAGAAGCCCACAACCAAGGTGAGAAAAGAAATGAGTTAGCTTCTAAGACTTCATGCTCTCTGTTAGTTAGAAGGGATCAGTTTCCACTTTCTTCTCTCCTACAACTCTCTAATATCTTTCATTGGAATTTAATTTGGCCATTTACATAGGACATGTCTATTTTGTATGTACATGTCCATGTTGAATGCACAAATGCCCTTCCTACATCTTTTTCTTTTACTTATCTATGTACAACATCCACCCAATTTCATATTGCCAAGAAGTTTTCTTAAGCTATTCTTTATCATTAATAGGCTACATCTTTCATTAAAGAAGAATGAAAATTGTTTACAGAGTTTATACTTCAGGTTTTCTTCCATAGGTAAAATAATGTCTAGGACATCCATTCTGACTCATGCCTGATGTAATGACAGTCACATCCTACTTTCTGGAAGGCAGCATTTTATAAATAATCTACCATCCCTTTGTATCTTTTCGGTAAAGTATAAGTATGTGTACAGAGCTATTCTTTCTGGACAGGTATAAGGCATACTACAATGATAAACTTTTAACAGTACCAAGGGATTTGATTTTGGTATTATCACCAGTGTGTGTGTGTGTGTGTGTGTGTGTGTATGTGTGTGTGTGTGTGTGTGTGTGTGTGTGCCCCAGCTCATTCGCATGCATGGGGGCACACACACAGATACACCACCCACCAGGTTTTCAAAAAACGTCAAAAAAGTACTGCCTCTAGTTTCCCTCTTGCCTTTTCTCTTGATAAGTCAAATGCAAGCCTGGGAGGATAAACATAAATGAAACACAACACAGGGAAGTGAAGGAACAGGCAATGTCTGTCCTTCCACCTGCTGCCCAAAGTGTGTGTGTGTGTGTGTGTGTGTGTGTGTGTGTGTGTGTCTGGGGTGGTGGTGGCTGTGACTGCCTGGAAGACAAGAATCTAAGAAGAACCCAGGAAAGGGTCTGTCAAAGACCTCTTAAAAATATCACATGGCAGTTTCAAAACGCACCAGCAGCTTAATTATCCTCGGCCTGAACAATCCTATCAACCAGGACACTCATAAATTCTAAAACCTCGACAACCCTCAAGCACTGTGGTTTGGGACTGCACAGAGAGACAAACACAGGGGAACTTGCACCTGTCTTTCTTGACACAACACACCTGTCTAGCCTTGCCCATGCGCACTTTGTTAGCAGACCTCATAGTTTGATAAAGGAAATATAAAGAGAGATATAATTTAAAAGAGAGGAGGTGGCTAGAGAAAAGGAGAAGGGGCTCTCCTTCACTCTAAGAGAAAGATACTTGCCAGTGGGGTTTTAAAAAAATTTTCTATGCTGAAAGGAAGACAAGGCACACACACACACACACACACACACACACACACACACACATACACAAATAAATGTTCTTGGAAAAATACAAACAAGCAGGTGAGTCCTCAGCTTTCCCTGGGGCTAAGGGTGCAGGGTTGCCAAGAATGCCAGTTTCACACCCCAACCTGTCTCCTTGAGTTATTTTAAACTCTTCCCCCCCATCACTCGGCCCTCCCTTCTCCTTAGTCCAGATTTCAGTCTGCCTCTGTGCCTTTCTCCTAAAGGCATACTCTTCAGCTTCAGCTTTGGGAGAAGCTGAGTGAAGAAAGATATTGGGATGGGAAAGATTGTCCAGAGAAGCTTGAAATAGCTATCAAAAGAATCACCTTTTACCCCAACCCTCACTTTCTTTTAGAGCAGTAAGTAATCTGCTGGCACATCTAAAGGCATAGAAGGTACAGGAAAAAGCAAAAAATCGGTTTAAGGACTACCTTCCTCCTCTCCCCCCCCCCAACTCCACACACATTTTAAGATCTCTCTTCTGATCTCCAGTCCAGGAAGATAGCAGTTTTCTCTTTCCCCTTTATTTCCTCTAGCTATCCATCTCATCTCTGTGCACTCCTCCCTTCCCAGCCCTCCTAACTAGGCTGAGAGAGGACAAAACTCTAGGTACCATTTCCATTGGACGCTGGTTCTTCCGAAACACCACAAACTGACAGGAGTAACTGGGAAGGGGGGGAGGGGTGTCCTTTGGCTCTGGAATCAGCCACCCAAGAACATTCACTGCTTCCCCAATTCTGGCCCCTAAAACACTTTTTCTCCATCACCGGTCCTCAAACCTGCCTACTCAAACACGCTACACCCCTCAAATCAAGAAACCTTACCCCCCTAAACTTGACTCAGCAACTCCATCAGCTGATCCAAACGCACTCCGCTATTGTCATTAAATCCATTTCTAAATTTCTGGAAAACTGGCTTCAATTTTTTTTTTTTTGCCCGCGACACCGTCTTTGAAAAGAAAGTAATAGTCTCCAGTCTTTCCCTCCCCCCTCCCCTCCCTCTGCTGGGGGTAGAAAAGGAGAAGGGAAAGGTATGCAAATGACAAGCAAATTGGAAGAGAGAAGAAGAATGGCAGCTATAATAAACAAGACAAAGAGAAAGGACACAGGGACCAGACTAGGAGTTTGTGGGGTGGGGGGAGAAGAGAGGGGAAGCGATTTGGAGAAAAGGAGCAGTTCGGAGTAACAATCCCCACCTTGAATTTCTCTCTCCTAAGAAGAGAGGGAGAGGGGAGGAAAAAAAAAAGAAGAAAGCTTCCTTCTAGCCTCAAAAGCAGTAAACAAAAGGTGACAAGATCAGGAGACAAGAAACAGCAATATCAACCTCCCACCCTCTCCAACCACCACCACCATCAAGACAAAAAAATTGTAAACACAGAGACAACACACACACACACACACACACACACACACACACACACACACACACACACACACACACACCCAAATCACTTACTCTTTAGGAACTGGGAAGACTAGAGTGATGAGTCCCACTGAGGCTCCTGGTTAGAAATCATTAGGGTTTATTTTATTATGATTCATTTAAATAATTGCATTTTCCCCTGGAAGAAAAATTTACATGGGTATGAGTAATATAAGTCCTTTTTTTCCCCTTTCTCATTCAAGAAAAAAGCCATAAGTGCTTTTTTTTTTTTTAGGAGGGGGATGTAGGAGGGGTAAGAAGATACTTACTCAGTGCAAAAAGCGATGGAACTGAGCCTCTCTCTCTCTCTCTCTCTCTCTCTCTCTCTCTCTCTCTCTCTTTTTTCTCTTTTTTGTTTTTTGGGTTTTTGTTTTTGTTTTTGTTTTTTGCCGGTGGAAAGAGAGTGGAAAATACACACGCGCGCACACACACGCTGATGTCTTGCTGCTGCTGAATATTGTAATTTGACAAGGGAGGGTGAATGTGTGTGCGATAGAGAGGGAGAGAGTAGGAGAGAGTGAAAGAGAGAAAGAAGAGAGAGACAGGAGCGTGAGAGGAGAAGAGGGGAGAGGAGAAGAGAAGAGAGGAGAGGAGAAAAGGAGAGAGGAGAGGAGAGGGGAGAGGAGGAGAGAAGAAAAGGAGAGAGGAGAGGAGAGGAGAGAGAGGAGAGGAGAGGAGAGGAGAGGAGAGGAGAGGAGAGGAGAGGAGAGGAGAGGAGAGGAGAGGAGAGGAGCGAGGATCAAGAGAGCGAGAGGAGAGGGAGGGAGACAGACCCAGGGAGAGCTCTTTTGCGCCGCTCTGCTTTGCCTGGCTGCAATGGTGTATAATTTCAGAGCGCTCACACAGCTGAGCTTCGCTCCACAAGATTTACTTTAAGACACAGCTGAAGGAAACAGGAAGACTGCACGTCACAGTCTGACTGACGTACCCAGACTCAGCACCCAATCGGGAGGCGCCTTCGGATTCAAGGGGGGGATAGCGAGGCAAGAGAACTTGGGAGGAAAAAAATAAAAGGGGTGGGGGAGATGTGAAAAAGAGGAGGAGAGAGGGACACCCCCCCTGCAGCCCTCGCCGCCTTCCACCCCTCCTCCATCCCTCCGAGCCTCCACCTCCCCTCCCCCTCCTCCCCCCAGACTCTCAGAGTCCCCCGTCCCTTCCCCTGTTGCAAGGAAAGAGCCTTGATCACCACCAGATCGGGGGCTTCGGGGGAGCTAGCCATTTGCGATCTGATGCAAAGCGAGCTGATGAGTGCGGGCAGCTCCCTCTTAGACTTGCTCTTCTTGGACTCGAGTCTTTTTTTTTTTCCATTTTTTTTTCTTCCCAGAACTGATCGAGCCCCCTGAGAGGCCAAGCGCTCCTCAGACTTGAGGAAAGAAGGCACCGAGAAGTAGATCGGAAGAGTAGGGTGTTGCAGGCAACTGGGTGGACGGATGGGGAGGGAGAAGGGGGGGGATCTACCAAACTATCTGATTTACTTAGTAATCTTGCGAAGTACATCAACATATGTCTCTTTTGCTTTTCTTCTTCTCTTTTCTCCTCTCTTCCCCGCCCCACCCCCCGCCCCTCCACCCGGAGGTGGGCTGACATGCAGGTAAGTTTTGGAGAAAATTGTTCGACGTTTCACACTCCCCAAAAAGCACTGGATACAGTGGGGGAAAAGAATTGATCGAGTTTCAGGCAATTGTCCTACGTTTCTTGGGAGTAGATGCATTTGGCTACCTCTTAGAGAGCATCATTTTAACTTTTAGGCTCAGCAGTCTTCTTAAAAACGCGTCTTACCGAACAATTTCCTTGCTTGCCACAAACACTAAATCAGTTCGTTCCTTTGTAAAATGAGGGGACCTACCTAAATGATCGTTTAGGTTTTTCCTAGCGCCGGCACTCTACGACTTGTTAATTAGTCCTAGGGTGATGGAAGGAAGATAGATCACTGCACTTCTGACCAACTTGGACCTACTTTTGGTAAGCCGGGGTAGCAAACTAGGAAGCTCTTTAGGAAAGTGGTCTTATCCTCTTAAACCTGGGACACCAATACAATGCCTAAAGAATACTTTTCGATTTAATATTATTGGGAGACACACAGAGACAGAGATACAGAGAAAGTCAGGACAAATAGAGACAGAGATACATACATAAAGAAGACAGAGAATATGCACTTGAAAGGGATCCTTAGGACTCGCAAGATACACATATGAAAGAAAAAGGGCATCATTGCCCTTAAGTTATACGTTCTACCTTTCAAGAGGGACAGAATAAGTGGTTTTTAATAAAGCCACTGAGTTTATGACTTAAGGTCCTACAGAAGTGAGAACCTGCAAGGATTGAGAAGCCAAAAACAATTCACACCTTGCCTATTAAGTACTGATTGAATTACATTCCTTCGATTATTATTATATTATTTTTTTGATCGGTTGGAGAAGATCCGCTTCTTTCCCCCTCTGCAGCACTCGGAATTTAATCAGATCAAAGGTTGTGATCATTCTTTGCACTTCAACTATTATGGCAGATTTATGAAGTGTGCTAATAGCAAACAGCCAGAACACCACCAACCACCACTCCGTCCCCTCCCGAACACACACACACACACACACACACACACACACACACAAGCACACGCCCCTTTTCTTGGACGCTTTTAATTTCAGCCACAGAACCGTCAAACTGTGAAAGGAGGATATTAAACTTCTCTTTAAAAAAATAACGATGATAACTCGTCCAAGTCAAGCACCGCGGGAAACTTTCTGGCACAGAATTAAAACATTGGAAAGGAGAAGAAAAATCAAGCCGGCCAGGTTAAATCTCTTCGGCTAAGATGAAAAAAGAGATCCCGGGGAAAATCAGACTGCATAAAACCCCAGCCCTTATCCTGCGCGCGCGCGCGCGCGCGCGCACCCACACACACCCACATACACACACACACACACCCTTCCAATATTCCGTTATTCTATCAAACAATTTAATTAAGTGGAAGAGTTTAGATTTGGGTGTGGAAGGAATTATGTCAGAATTCCCATCAGATACAGGGACCCAATAATGTCCTTATCGGGTATTTTCCAGATAATCTGGTGTGTTGGGGAGAAATTTGGGTCCCATTGTATAGTATTCTTCATTCTTCTTCTTCTTCTTCTTCTTCTTCTTCTTCTTCTTCTTCTTTCTTCTTCTTCTTCTTTCTTCTTCTTCCTTCTTTTTTGGCGTTAAGAATCGCAGATTCCGAATGAAAGTCAGTGCCAGCTCCCAAGGAAATTGGTAGGAGTCAGGGAGACGTGCCCTCTACACCTTAAAGCCATCTGCCCAGTCTGGCATTTGAAACAACAGGGAGAGGAAGGGGGAGGAGTAGGAGTAGGGGAGACAGGTTCCCCCAAAGGATTAAGATGTGGACTTTTCCCTCGGAAACAAATTAGTTGAACTTTAGCCTAAAAGTTCATTTCTATTGTTCTGAAGACTCAGATGCATGCTACATACACACCCCACACATTCATACACTCACCGTGAGGAACTGTCTGAGGAAAAAGTTCCTGAGGCCGCCTCTACTCCTTTACCAAACTCAGTGGAGGGGCTTAAGTACTGTGTTGGTTTAGGGGTCAGAGATGTGATTTTGTCCTCTCGCTGTTCCTTCCAGCTGCTTCTAGTTACCTATTCTGCACCCAGTCACCCCTTCTGCACCTCTCTACCTGCTGCCCTGCAGCAGTTTGCTTCACTCTGTGTCTTCCTCAGTTTTGTAGCCTGCCTTAGCTGTTCAGAAGCAGGCTTTACAGAAAGAAGACCGCAACCATCCACAAGAGTGAGACACAGAAAGAAAGCTCTGATCCTGCAACCTCTGTCATGAGGATTTCACTTGTGGAATCCTGCTGCCCTGTCCCTTACTGTACATAACACACATGCCAAATACAACCTTTCTCTCCTCAAATTGGGTCGCTGTTTCTTACATTCTTACTGTTCATGTTTCTAAAAGAAGCAAGATACAAGGCCCTTGCCTCTCCTATCTGCTACGATTCTCCCATCTGTTTTCTTCATAGGAAGGGGTCCCGCAAGCCTAGAGACAAGACCAGATAGGAATTATCTCTGAAAACAAGCAGCCATTGGTTTAACATGACACCCTTCTTCCCACCCCAAGAATTTTAAAGTTTATGAAAGTTTCGAAGTTTCTTCTATTAAAAATCTAAGAAGTCTTTGCTGTTGATGAATTTATTTATTTACCACTAATAAAATTAGTGTCAGTTTGGCCTGCAAATTAAATAAATGAACTTCACCGTGGCATTTTCGTGGAGTGATTTCCCCCCCTCTTGCTTCTTTCCTTGAACTGAATGGAAGTGAGAAAGCGACTGCATCATTTAAAATACCATCAATTACTACCAAACTTCATAAAATCCCAACCCGGTTTTATTCTTTCTGGGGACCGCGATCTGATCTCGTTACTAGAACAAGACGCATCGGTGTGAATTTCGGGAGACAACCCCTAGTGATCTTGATAGACACACCAGCTCACACAGGCACTTGGGCTAGTGTATACACACACACACACACAACACACACACACACACACACACACACACACACACACACACGGAAATAGCGAGGAAGGAAGAAAAGCCAACCCTTAGGGCTAGCGCCTGGCCCCGTACTGAGACATAAACCGTCTCTCCAGGCAGTTCCAATTCACTGATGACCCGGGGAAAAGCCAAATCTATAACCTGAATTGGTTCCGGAAAAAAAAAAAACAAACAACAAAACAAAACCAGAAAGGGGGGAAAAAGTGAAATGCCACAAGATCAGTAGCAAGTAGCAGCTGCGGAGATTCTCTCTTGGGAACCCCATAGCTTATGAGCCTCCAGAGTAATGTTTGTTTAACCAACAGCTTTCAAAGTAAACAGAAGCGAACACTCCATAGAACTTGAAGTACAAACCTTAGAAGGGTTTCCGGGGATTGGTGGATAGTGGTGGTGTTGGTTTGTGGGAATGAAGGTCTCCCGAAAAAAGAAAGTACCCCCCGCCCCCGCACACTCCCGCTCCCATCCCTCACCTCCAGGAGGACTTAGATCTGTCCAAACCAAATCCAGCCAAAGAGGACAACACAATCTTCAAATCCTGAGGTTCAAATACTCAGGCCACCCTTTCCGATTCTCCCCTCCTCAACCACATAGTTCAAGAGATCTCCTTTCCACTAATACTTTACAATTCTCCCTCCCTCCCCCCTCCCCCCAAGTGGGGAGGAGAAGAAAAAAAAAGAGGGAAATTCCCTGTCCTGGATGCTTATGGAACAGGGTCTAAAATGGATCTCTTCCACGCCAACCCTGACTTTGCCTCAGGCACCAAACTTTCCAGTACCAAGATATTAACAGATGGTGGTAAGCACATGGTGAGATGTTACTTACATAATCCAGCCATTTCTCTTGGGCCTTAGTGAGTGAAAGGGACTCACCAGACAGCGGCGCATTTTGAATTGTGTTTGTTGCGCTCCCCACTCCTTCCCACCGCCCTTATCCACTCTTCTTCCACCCCCACCCCCATGTCTCAGTGGTCCGGGATGAGGAGGGGGGCCCTATTTGAGGGAAAAAAACCCACTCA